CACACAGAAAGAAGGGCACAGAAGACTCCCAGTGTTGATCCGTCTGGGTTAAAATTACCTTAAGAAGCTAAACAATGGGGCCAGCAGGTGACATGTTGGTTAAGACACTGGCCTCCCACATGACTGGCTGGCGCTGGGGAGTTGGGGTCCTGGAACCCTGACAACAGAGGTTCATAGAAAATGCACGTAGATTGGGAAGCAGAGGGCCTGGGGCTGACATCTGAACCTGTCTCTTGTTCCAAGCCTCAGTGGCCTCAACCGTAAACTGGACACAGAGGCAAGGACCTGACAGGTCCCTGATTCACCAAGGACACAGGAGAGGTAGTCACTCCCTCCTGTTCAGAGCTCCCTCAGGGCCTCGAGAAAACGGACAGACCTGTCCTCAGAGGACCCAAGACTGACCTATCTATGACCAGAGTCCCTCCCTCCCTCTGGATCTCAGCGGCACCATCTGTCTGGCTGGGAGAATCTTCCCGGTCTTATCCCCAGTGCTCCCAGGAGCCCACCTTCTCCTGCTAAAGCCTTTTCCTCCTGGCAAATGGAAAGCTGCCGGAATTTGGATCCTAACAGATGGTTGTCTGTGGCCTCCAGCCCACGTCACCACTCCCCTCTGCAGCGAGCTGCGGACCCCTACACAGGTACGGGCAGCCGCAGCACACGTCCGGCCCATCCTTCAGCAGTCACCACACGGAGGAGACACGCTTCCATCCCAACCACCCTGTACGGCCACTAGCCCCAGTGACCGCTTCTGGGACGCTATCCAAACGAAATAACCCCAAATACAGGAAAAGGTGCATGCACCAAAAACGTGCCCGAGGAGGAATTTATAACCAGAACAAAAGGGGAAACCACCTAGACAGAATATCCCACCCACTACAGACGGCTCTGGGGCCCACATGACCACACAGAAAGAAGGGCACAGAAGACTCCCAGTGTTGATCCGTCTGGGTTAAAATTACCTTAAGAAGCTAAACAATGGGGCCAGCAGGTGACATGTTGGTTAAGACACTGGCCTCCCACATGACTGACCATGGTTTGAGTCCTGGACCTGGCAAATGACAATTAAGCTGGGTGTATGTACCCAAAATCCCAGGAGGAGAGGAAGACAAGAGACTGTGGCATGGCCATCCCTGCGGAGTTACTTCTCACTTTACCTCTCTGTCTCTCTCCAGGGAGCACACACACCCTATGGAAAAACCTTAAAAAAAAGCACTAGACAAAAACTAATAAGCAATCTGCCGACATACTAACAGTGCCTATATGAATAAATGTAATTTTTTCACTCCATTTTTTTGTTGCCCTTTTTTTTTGTACTGTTGGGCTGAGGCAAATATTGGGTCATTGGAAAAGTCGTAACCTGTTTTCATGATTTTCCTATGCAAAGTTGTGGCATGACTTTTCCCATGACCCAATATATGGTCGAATTGATTTTTAAAAGTCAGTACATGTGGGCCAGTCTGTGGCCTAGTGGTTAAGGGAGCCAGATCCCACATGGCCGAATACACAGTTTGAATCCTGACCCCAGCAGCTTGAAAAACACGCCTGGCGGCCAGCAGGTGACATGGTGGTGAAGACACTGGACTCCCACATGGCTGACTGTGGTCTGAGTCTCAGACCTGGCAGCTTGCTTTCTCTCCTCTCTCTCTGGTCAAATTAAAATAACAACAAATGGAAATAAATAAATCTAAAAACAAACAAACAACAACAACAAACAACATGCCTGGCATGTGGGTGTGTCCCAAATCCCGACAGGATAGAGAGATGGGGACGAGATTGCAGTGAGACCGTGCCCCATTGGAAAGTGTCTTCTCTCTCTCTTTATCTCTCAGTCTCTGGAAAGCACATGTTCCTTCTAGCAGATAAAAACAAGTAAATAAATATCTACATGCTTGTTTTCACAAAAACAATTCCGACGTGGCAAAGAAGTGTGTCTTAGAAAGTTGAAGTCCCCTTGGGACCAGCAGTTAGCGTAATGGCTATGTCGCTGGTCTCCCACATAGTCGATTGCAGTTCACGTCCCGGACCCAGTGGCTTAAAACTCATGCCGGGTGTGTGTGCATGCGTGCCCAAGATCCCGAGGGGAGAACAGAGGAGAAGAGACTGCGGCGTGGTCACCCCCCCGGGGGGTGATTTCTCGCTTTCTGTCTCTCTGTCTCTCTCTGTCTGACGAGTGCACACGCCCTATAGCAAAAACTTCTTTAAAAAAAAAAAAAGAAAGAAAGAAAGTTGAAGTCCCCTAGAGAAAACCTCATGTAGGAGAACAGTAACATGGGGTGCATACCCTTCCAGAATTTTCTCTATGCGTAGTGTATATTATCGCTGCCACTATCACAGAAATGGAATTATTTTATCATTGCACATCTGTCCACAGCAGGGTACATATGTGGGGACTTCAAAAAGTTCGTGGAAACAGATAGAACTAAAGCAGGAATTTATTTTGGTGCAAACATTTTGAAATCCATGTATATCTTTTCATAATATGCCTTTCCCTGACCTTCCATAAGGTCCTTCATAGAGCTCTGCCTTAGAGCTCTATGCTCTAACTGCCACGTGATGGTCCACCACGTGGGGGCCCTGCCAATGGGCATTGGTGGCTCCCAGCCGTTGGCACTATGGTCCAGGTACTGACAGGCCTGGCAAACCAAGTCCCCGAATGTCTGCTCGCATCTTCAGATCAGGCTAAGTAGTCCTCAAGAGCTGACTTCTGAGGTTGAGTTGTGGGGCAGAAAGTTCCCCACACGTTGTAGCACACTCCCAGAACACGGGACACATTTTCACCCCTCCCAGCCTGAATGAGGACGCCGGGGTTGCCCCTGCTCCACCCTGAGCCCAGGCCTCGTCTGTCCACTGTGGGCCTCACTTTCCCAGACTGCGAGTGAGCTGGGCTGGGCCGGTTGTAAAGCCCTGGCGCCTGCGGTCGCTGGTGCGGGAGCCGGCTCCCACCTGCGCGCAGGAGTGGACTGACACACAGACGGGAGGTTTTTGCTTGTTTCAGATTTGGCAGAGTTTAACTGAGCAAAGAACAGTTTGTGAGTGGGGCAGCTCCCAGAATGGTGCCGAGGAACACTACCAGGAGTTTTTGAACAGTTGCCGAATGTGGCTTTTATAAAAAAATGAATGATACAAACCCACGATTAAATAGATTAATTTTGTTTTTCATTTGTTTTTGCTCTAGGGCATGTGTACTTGCCAGAGAGAGAGATGGGGGGAGAAATCACACACCCCCAGGGAAGATGGCCACATCGCAGTCTCGTTTCTGTGTTTCCTCTTGGGATTTTGGGCATGCACGCACATGCACCTGGCGTCATTGTCAAGCCACCAGAGTTCAGACTTGAACCGAGCATCTGGCCATGTGGCATCCAGCCCCTTAACTTCCGTGCCACCTGCTGGCTCTGGATTAAATATTTTTTTAAGGTGATAGCATAAAAACCCATTCCTTCCTGTTCTTTCACTCCACAGACTCTCATCTGTGCTCCTGAGACCACCTGCACCCATCTGACGGGAGTCCAGGCCACGCTGCATGCGGCGTTTCTTCCCAACTCCAAGTTTGGTGAGTGGTAAATTGAAATCGGCCGTGTGGGAATATTCACACCGTAGAAATCAACAAACGCTGCCGGTCAGGGCCCCCACCTATTATTATTTATTTACTAGGACGTCACTGGCTTCGACCCTGTGAACCCACACTCTGAATGTCTGCATTAACGACCAGGAGGAAGAGAGCCCGGTCAGAGCTGAAGCAGTTGGACAGGGTGCGCAGAGCGGCCCGAGGCCTGCCTCGGAGCTCAGGTAGTGGCTGTCTTAGCTGCGTGGACTTGGCAGATCCATCCTCCCCCTGTGAAGTGGGGGCAGTTGCGGTAGCCTCTAGCAGAGTTATGGGGAGCCATGCCATGTCAAGAGGCATTGCCACATCACACATAGTTAGGAGCCAGTAATGGGGAGCCAGGGCCTGGGTGGAATCCCTGCCAAGTCACTTACCGTCTCTGACACTCGGTTTCGGGTCTATCACTGAGGCCGGCTAAGAGTTTAAGGCCTGTAAATGCTGCAGTTAGGTAGCGTGGGGAGGGGGTGGCATGGCTGCTGCTCCCCTCTTACCTCCCCACATTCACGGCTCCCTCCAGCCCCTGCTCAGATCCTCTAAGAAGTTTCTGGATGTGCATGTAGAGAGGTGTCCACACGGCCGGCCACGGCTGGTGTGGCCGGGAGCAGGGCATGGCAGAGCCCACGGTGGGTGGAATGCAGGCCTGGTCCCCAGTTCCTCAAGGCACCTTCTCTGGTCAAGTTCAGAAGGCAGCAGAGGCCACAACCACTCAGAAAATCCCCTAGCTGGGGGCCCCCCAGGACCCCTAACCTAGACACACACACACACTTCTCAAGACGGCAAAGCGCTTGGCCCATTCGGAAGGTCCTGGGACTGCTCAGAGGCCCCATGGAAGGAGAAGGCGGAGGGTTTAAGGCCTGTAAGACAACGACACAAGACCAGCCCGCCTGCCAGCTCCCTCCAGGCCTGCCCTCGCCCACCACCTTCCTTACAACAGCCCTGAGGGCAGCTCTGCCGCCATCCCCGCTTCACGCAGAGGCCTGAAGGTGGCCCCTGAGAGCACATGCGGGGAATGAGTAATGTAGACTGAGCCCAGAACCGGCGCTGGAGAAGCCCATGGGACCCCCCACTTCACAGAGGCCGTCTCAAGGTCCGGAGAGGGAAGGGAGCCTCCCCAGAGCTGCACAGCATCCTAGGACCTGGGCTTCCTGAGAGAAACCGGACACGCCTGGGAAGCCAGAGGCCAGAGGCCAGAGTTAAGGCCAAGGACTAGCCCTGGTTAGCTGAGTACTTTTAACACGAAAGTTCTGTGTCTGGAAAGTCCCAACGAACTGGGACAGTTGGTCACCAGCACCCCCCAAGCCCCCCGACGGCCCCACTGGGATGCAGGGAGAAGGCCAGCAACCCTCGGGCTGGCCTGTGTGCTGGAGCCAGGTCCCCACCCGCATCCCTGGGCACCTACCTGTGGGGATGAGGCCGCAGAGTGCCAGCAGCAGGCCAAGGGCCACAGGGAGCATGCTGAGCTCCATGCTGTCCACTCGGAGCCTGTGCGTGGGGCCCTATCCGGTGTCCAGGGGCAGGACTGCAGGCGGGCGCCGGGGTCGGCGTTGGCTTGCGTGGGGACCCGAAGGAAGCAGGCGGCCGGAGCGACGGCGTCCCTGCTCCAGCCTTCTGGGGTGGCGGCGAGGGGTCAGGAGAAGTGGGCACAGGATGCAGGGCCGGGCAGGGGGTGCTGGCCGGCGGGGCAGCAGACGGGGGTGCTGGGCTCCTGTGGCTGGGGCCCGGTGGGGGGGCTGGCCCGTGGGG